GGGATCGAGTCCCGCATCGGGCTCCCTGCTTGGCAGGGAGTCTGCTTCTCCCTCTGACCCTCCCCACTCTCATGTGCTCTCTCTCTCTCTCTCATCCTCCCTCTCTCAAATAAATAAATAAATAAATAAAATCTTAAAAAAAAAAATTGTACTCCACCCTTCCATTTATCACAGCACTTGGTTTTTGAAAAGCTTGTTTGTGCCTTTAATAAACTATGGATAGCAACTAGAACCAAGAAAGTAGTTAATCTATTAAATATATATAAAATATGTAAATGATTTAATATAATTTCTTTTGGTTTTGCATAAGGAAGACAACTGCTCAGGTCACTAAAGCAGCATTTTTCTTGAAGCCATTTTAAAATTTTAAATTAATTGCTTTCTTTACCTATTCATTAGTAAGTATTCATTCATCTTATGTGATAGGAACTATACTGGTCTCTGAAGAAACAGGAACACTTAATCTGCTCTCAAGGAAATCAGAGTCTCCCTATAATAATGTCTCGAGGAGAGCTCTCTCTCCCCTTCTCTCTTCCTTACTCTTTGCAAATAAACCCATTACCAATGTGACTTGGCTATTTCATTTTGCCGATTAATACCTTAAATAACTAGATTCTAGAAAGGGAATGACTGCAAAGAGAATTTCTTTGTTTCAATTTCCATTTAGGCAAAGAGAAGCAGAATTGGCAATCCCAGTTTCAGTTAAGTCATTTATTCAAAACTCAAAGAGGTAAGGACAGAACTCTCTCAGTTCCTGTGATAGAGCACAAAATGGGGAAGCTCACAATTGGCTGAGCAGAATGATCATATTTCAGAGTTCAAAGGAATAAAAAACCTCCCAGTGATGTAAAAACAGAGTTTCTTACCTCTCTGGGAGGCAAAAGTTAGCGTGGGGGCTGATAAATTAATTACCTAAGGAGGACAGGAGACAGGTGGTGAGCTGTGGGAGACTGAATGCAGCAGAGACCTGCACAAGGAAACAGAACAAAGAAAGCCGCTGTCCAAGACTGAAAAAGAAAAATTAGATTTGTAGAATGATAGTGAAAGAGTTTAAAAATATATGTATATAATCAATATAAAATCAGTATATATCATTTGTAGAAAGTAGAACATGTCGAAAAACATGGAGGTCTAAAAAAAAAAAAAATCAGCCTTAATCCTTACTTGCAAAATTAGTTATTTTGGACATTTTGGTGTTCTTCTTTCCAGTCTTTTTTTTTTTTTAATATTTTGCAAAACATAGTTAAGGTCTTTATATATGATAATCATGTTCCCTCACTGATCATTATATAAAGTATTTTCTCATCTTTAAAATTTGAAGAAAGAAATTTGAAACCAAAAATAGTAAAAAAAAAATCAGTTTAGCCTTCCCTGATGAAGCTATTAAATATTCATTCCTAAACTTTTTACAATGGAAATGTCAGATTCAAAATATTTCCTCTTATCAGATCATAGGAGGATTTATTTTTTAGAAAGGTCTTTGTTCAAACTCTCCACTTTCAGAATACACACACATACACATACAGCTTTTTCTTCTCTTTGCATTGCCTTTCCTCTAAAGCAGATGGTGCTTGAAATTGCCTAGGCCCCTCACAAAAGCTGTTCCTCTAGCAACCTTCCTTAAAAGACGATTTTAAAACAAGCAAAGATGTTCTTTGAATTCCCTGCTAGCCAATCTGTCAGTCCAGCCTAAAATATTACTAATTAAAAATAATCAACTTTATGAGAAGATAATTTAATCATAGTTGCACTACAGAGGTTAGGGTGCCATGGTGTTAGAAATACCAAATCACTGTTTTTATAATTAATTTCTAATGAGGTTCAAACTCTTAACTCATTCCTAGCACCAGTGCACACATCCTTGGCTCCTGCTGACTTGTGTTTGGAGAAAATCAGACATCAGCACAAAGAAGAGGTTCTAGGAAATTGAAGATGTCCTTATGCCTGCAAGTGTAGAGTATAGAACCATGGACTTTTAATTCTATCAACTGTTCCTCCTGATCCTGAATTGAATTAATGCTCATATTTCAAAAATATTTCTGATTCTAATACTAGTGATTTAAAAGGGTTTGAAAAAGAAGATCAGATCCTAAGGGGTTGTAATTATAATAGTACGTGATATTTATTGAGTTTTACTTTTCTGCCATGAACTAGTCTTTAAATCTATGATCTAATGTAATCCTCACCTATGAGGTTGGGTGGTATTAGAATCCAATGAGTTGGGCTGTATCAGAATGAACTATGAGTTGAGCTATATTAGAATTTTCACTGCAGATGAACAAAACATAACAAAAGCACCTTCAGGAATTCATTTATTGCTTTGGGTTTCAATGCCCTCTTCTATAAAACAACTGTAAAATGAGGCTCTGTGGAGATAGTCTCTGAGGTTTGTTCTAGATTTTCAGTTGAAGATAAACTCACACTGCGTTAATGTTTCATAACCAAGTATTTCTTCAATGCTTTCATCCTGAGCTTTTACTGAATGTTCAACATCTTCCCTCTGGAAAAAAAAAAAATTATCCTTCATTAAAGAAGGCTGCACATTCTTCGCTATGCCTTTCCCTGAGAGTGGAATCCAGTTTCTCTCTTCTCAGTGCCCTAGCCACTGAAAACTCTAGAGAGATCTAGTCAGAACCACCAGGCTGAGCCTAGCCAACCTATGAAATATCATGAGAGATATTAATAAATTGTAGTTTAAAGTTTTTAGTTTCAGAATGGTTATGCAGTCATATTTCACTGGAACGTCTTCTTGTTCAAAGCGACATTCCCTTTCCTGCCCTTGTATTATACACTACAGGTGAAATTAAAGCATGATAGTAGCTCAACCTGTTTGAGGTTTTGAAAACCTTGAAATCACTGCATCTTTCTCTTTTTCATCTGCCTTTACTTGAATTCGTCAACGGATTTAGCCTCCCAAACCTTCAAAATTCAGGAAAGCATAGACTCTTGCTGTGTCTGTTCGGTAATGTTACATCTTCCAGGAGGAACTGAGAGGTTTGAATCAGGCAGCAGGAAGAAGAAGGTAAGAGGAAGAGAGAGTGCACTGAAGAATGTGTTGAACTGGCTTCTGCTTCTATTTTGGCCACTGTGTTTTGGTCCTCCCAAAGTTACTTCACATCTTTGGGTATCAGGTGTCTTTCTCTCTCAACATTTAAGGTGTTGGTTTTTATGGTCTTGAGAATTCTTTGTTGTTCCGGCCTCAGTTTCTTTTACAATATTAAAATTATATTCTATCTACTTTATAAGGCTTTGTGAGGATTACAGTAAGTATGGTGGATAGTGTCTTTTCAGCACCTGTTACTTAGTAGGTAATAAATGGTCCAGTGTCACTATCATATGATTCCAGGCCTCAATAGCTGAAATACAAGAGGATAACTCACATGTAATGTACTAGACATTTAACATAACTTATCTAATAAAACCATTCTAGTGGCTAAGTGGAAGTTATCCATATTTCCTATATTCGAGTTTAAGAGGGAAAGACAAAAACGTCTCTCCATCTGCTCTTGCATTCCTCTCAGAGGAGAGATCAGCTTTGCCCTTCTGTAAGTGCCAGTATTTACAGACTAACTTTTAGGAAATCAAAACTGTGCCCCGATATAATAACCAGCCTCAAAACTTGAAAAAGAGGTAATTACTTAGTGGCTCCAGAGATTTGCTCGGATTTATTTATAGTCGCTAAGAAAAGTCCTCCCCTCCCTTGCCGGGCAAACCCAACGCAACGCCCACCCACACTGCGGCACTGGACGCTCTGGGGATGCGAGGTTAATTCCCCGAGTAGCCGCTAAGGGGAGCTGGACGCTGGACCGCCCTCCGGCGTTGCCATAACAACGGTGGGCGCGCAGCCTTAGGAGCAAAGTGCCAGCTAAAGCAGGTGTTGGATTGCAGCGCGCTCGCGGAGGCTCAGGGATTGTGTGGAGCCCGGGAGCCTCTCAGAGAGTCTGGCTGCTATTCCTCCGCCTCCCTCTCGGACAGCTTCCGAACCCAGCGGGGACGCACAGAGTGAAAATGGTCCACCATTCAGGCTCGATTCAGTCCTTTAAACAGCAAAAAGGTCAGTTGGAATCTTGGCCCCCCTCCCTAAGGGCGTCACGTCCCCGTCTGCATGCCCTTGCAGTTGTGTAGGAGCATCCTTTCCAGGCTAATGCGACGCAGAGGTGGAGAACTCTGTGAAGTTAAAAAAAAAAAAAAAAAAAATTTTTTTTTTTTTTTTTTTTTTTAATGCTTCTTTACTCTGCCACCAAGATGAGTCTGATTTCTGAGCCTCCGCACGGTCCCAGGGAGAAGTGGAATTCGTCATTTCAGGGACTTGATTTAATGTATTATCTCTGCTAAGACTGTTTCATTGCATTGCAGTAAACCAGCTTAGTAGGGGTTGTTTTACCAGCCCAATAGTGCTCTGAGGTTTGAGGACAGAAATACTGGACCATGTTTGCCCCAGTCTGTGATTCAAATGGCTAAGAAGCTTCACATGAACAAATCTCTTATTTGAGGTGCCTTTACACAGTCCTAGATAAATGAATTTATGGAGAGTTCCAGAAGTTGGCCTGTTGAAAGGGCTCTGAAACTTTCTTGGAAAACTTAATTTTGCCCCCATCCTATGTTTCATTCTGTGTTTCAAGCTTTTGTTATTGTTGGTAGGTTCCTCTTCTGGGGGCTTTGTATTATCTCTCTTAGCTTCTCCTTCAAGTTTCTCCCTGGATGCAGTGGTATGAGTCCCTATGTTCGTAATCAAATCAAAAAATATCCCAAGTTATCCTCACTCTTTGGTCCTTATTCGCTATTTTGTTGAAAAGTATTTTTCTAGAGCATGTTTGCGTTTGGAGTTGGTCCAAAACATTTATTAAATAACATAATTACCATTTTATTGAATTAATAATGGTGATGGTAATTATGCCACAGCTGACCCTAAGGTACCTAAGATATGTGAATTCTTGAATGGTAACTTGGCTCATTCAGAGTGAAGTGAATATTTACTTATGTTATTATCTATATTCTCTCTGTCTGTCCATCTGTCTATCTACAGTCAACAGTTGTTTCTATGTAGATCTTTGACTTTTTTAAAGCAAAATCTGGATGGACATCCTAGGGATAATTTAGTAGGGATTCCTGCATTAGGCAGAATATGGGACTCAGTGAGCTTCAAATTCCATAATTTTATACTCTGTTACAGTCCAAGTTCTCTAGGTTCTTAAAAAAATTTGTTGAAATTGGGAGTGGTGTGAGACACTGTCTGATTAGACAAAAATTTAACATAATGTGCAATTCCACGTCAAATTTAAGTGTTCCAAAGAGAATTAAATTGTTTCAAGAAGTCATGTTCTCTTTAATCATTATTTTAAACACATGTACGCTTTCAGAATGAAGACAAAGATGATAGGAACTTTACTCCAGGTTAATACAATTAATAGTCTTCTCTGATGCGTGGCTATAAGTAACTCATTTCTGGAACCTGGAACCTTGAAATGGTCCCCACACAACTTATTATGTATGGATACATATTTTGTTTTTAAAAGCTAACAACTGCCAATTTAAGGACCACCTGTGATTGCTCAAAGTGGGCTATAAAAATTATACAAATCGTAGTTCTTCATATTGTCCAAAAACATTTGGTTTCCTTTATGATGCATTATGAGCCATTTATTTTCAAGTCTTTTACTTTTTGGCACAAAAGGCAAATTTAGCAGAAGGATAAATGTGGAGAGGAGGAGGGATAGGAAAAGAAGCACCAATAAAGTGGTTCTGGTTAATTGTTTCTTAACCATGAATGGGCATTCCAAAAAGACATACGAAACTGAGGATTAGCTACTTTGATCTTTCAAAGAAAAAGCAAAATAAGATTTTAGATGCTTTCTGACCCAGGAAGCAAGAGACAGAATGCTTTTCGGGGTGCTTTTCACCATAACATTAACCTGAAAACTTCACATTAAAATGGAGAATATGCTGGAGCTCTGGAGTTATAATTGCTAAGCTCGCCTTTGTAACTAGCGTAACAACCTTGAGCAAAGTTTTTAATTTCTTTGGACTCTGCTTCCTTGAAAAGGTTGAACTCCTGACCCCTACAGGCTTTTTGATTTTTCTTTCTCTGTTCCTTGGGGAAGGGCTGGTGGCAGTGTGAAAGCAGAGATAATTTCTTCCTGAGCCAAAGAGGAAAGCCCTGCTTTTAGTTCACAAGAAATAATTTAGGGGCGCCTGGGTGGCTCAGTCGGTTAAGCGTCTGCCTTCGGCTCAGGTCATGATTCTAAGAGTTCTGGGCTGGAACCCCTTTTCTTCTTCCTCCTCTGAGCTCCCTGCTCAGCGGGGAGTCTGCTTCTCCCTCTGACCCTTCCCCCTCTTGTGCTCTCTCTCTCCAACATCTCTCTCTCAAATAAATAAATAAAATCTTAAAAAAAAAAGAAAGAATTTAGCTGAGTAACCCAGTTTCTGGGGATGACTTTTTGTTTTAATCAAATGAAATTAATGTTTGTTTTTTATTTTTATTTCAACTTTATAATACCTAGAAGGAGCATGAGGTATTCAGAAAACACCCTTATGGAAAGACTTAAAAAATGTTCACCATCACTTGAGAAACAGACACACTCTTAAATTCTCAGCAAGCCAGGAGACGTTTCCTTCTATGAGAACTATGTAGTAATCAATCCCTGAGCCAAATTCCCTCACTGATATTACTCAGCGTTTTTCAGCAAGTCGATAGAGATGTCAGAATCATTATCTGTAAAACCAAATTTCTCCATTAATTTAATCTGTGATCTTCATTTTCAGCCCTGGAATTTAATTCTACATATTCTGCTTACAAGTTTTGTTCTTTAAGATCTCCAAGCTTCAGTTACTTCCTCTGTGAAATGAAGATAATATCTATATTGCGAAGTCCTAATGTGTTCAGCAGTTTGGCACACAGATTGGGGCTCATAAATATAGTGAATAATTAATAATAATAAATAATGATAATGATAGTTATTCTTCTTCCCAGGCCCATCTGCCTTTTTGTTGACTACTTAGTAAAAAAATGCCCTCAGCAGTTCCGTTATGTTGTTGCCCTTTATTTTTCTTTGTCTCACTTTTGTTATTTTGGGGTATTTTTAAGGAAAATGAGACTCCAGACCATCTAAAGATTCCTTGCAATAGTCTTGAGTTACAGTCACAAACTACCCAACTTGGGACGCCTTGGTGGCTCAGTCGTTAAGTGTCTGCTTTCGGCTCAGGTCATGATCCCAGGGTCCTGGGATCGAGTCCCACATCGGGCTCCTTGCTCAGTGAGGAGCCTGCTTTTCCCTCTCCCTCTGCTGCTCCCCCTGCCTGTGCTCTCTCTCTCTCTGACAAATAAATAAATAAAAATCTTAAAAAAAAAAACAAAAACAAAAAACTACCCAACTCCTATGCCCACTTCTTGGGAAAGCCTCTCAAAAACTCCCATAGAGTAAGTTTAGATATTCATTTCATAATTTCAAAATTTCACTGCAAATCAAATGTACTTACTCACGCTCCATTCAACCAATATTTACCAAGCTCTTGCCGTGTGCCAGGCAGGGTGCTTAGCAATGGCATTGTCAAGAACACTTTCATTCTTGAACCTATTACTGCAAAAACCTTCTTCAGAGAACTTTACATAGTAGGAAGTCTGAGAGGTTTGCTAAACACAACCTTTATGCAAATTATAGGAAACTCTGCATTTTTCTAGGAAGATGTTGACATTTTTGTTTATTGACAACGCCAGTTAAGTTTTGTTTTCTGAAGAGACCTACATATATTTTTAATTTTTTATATTTTTAATTTTTTATTCCACTTTAATTAAATTTTGCATTGTTTTATTAAGAGGCTTAATAAATTAGGAAGTAAAATGGGAGAATTCGGGGAGCAGAGCATTCCACAGTTTGTTTATTTCTGAAGTCTCAAGGGTACACCGGAGTGTATTATGCTTACTGAGAACTGAGAGTGTGTGTTTGCCTTTGCCTTCACACATATTGGAGGAACACAGTAGCTGGCAAGTGAGCAGTGATATCTGGTGAAAGTCCAACTGTGCTTCCCAGCCTGGCTTGCTCTGTTCACTTGATTTAGGATGGATTCATGTGTCATGCAAAAGTGGGCAAAAAAAGGACAATGTGAGTTCTGGCTTCTGGTGGCTGTTATTTATCAATACAGCCAGCAAGACTTTCAGGGAAACCATAGGTCACATCAAACACAGCCTGTCCTAAAAGGCTTGGGCTTAATGGGATTAGCTGAAGCTGTTAAGTGATTCATCATTATTCTAAGGGACATTTGGTTAAACATGAAAAGAGTGTTTTTAATAATTCCATGGAATCAAACACCTCCTACTCAAAAAGTGGTTTAATCATAATAATAATCTTTACATATACATGGGAATCTGCAGACCACAAAGCACTTACATTCTCTTTTTTTCAAAATAAATTACTTGCTATGGCAAGTACCCACCTGTAAAGCCTCTCAGCAACCATCCTGCTTTGTGTCCAGTTCCCAGTTCACAATACCCTGAAAGGACATTGTTGGGGGAAATACCTAGTTTCACAATCTCTGATATCCACTGTGTAAGTCCCGTTTTCCTCTCACTCATATCTTTAGGATCTAGAACTTTCCTATGCTCTTCCCCTGCTAAAACCAGGAAAAAAATATGAAGCCATTTATATACTGATAGAAATGCATTCACACATGTGTACTGACTCTCCCTGGTATTTTGACAGTTGATTCTTTTATTTATGACCGAAGAGAAGGCATTGCCTCTTGTTAAAATAATTCCTGCCACATAGGAGAAAAAAAGTTGGGGGAAAATATTTCAGAGTCAGAAACTGTACTTTTCTCAGGCTGGTACTGAATATCAGCCTGATCATTACAAAGGATTGGGCATCAAATCTAAATGAGAACCCCTCAGGTCTTCTACTCTGTCTTAATTTCCACCTTTCTCTTTCTTTACTTCCTCAGTAGATTTCCTACATATTTACAACTCTAGTTCCCCAGTGATAATCTCCCAGTGAGGAGAGCCCAACTATGAAGAGAATGTAGAGATATTTCAATCCAAATAGAAAACACATATGTCTGGGA